TGCGCGCGTGCGTGTGTGCGTGCGTGTGTGTGTGGTTTCATCGCGTTATTTTTCAACTTTATAAGTTGAATTTGCATTTTTGATAATTTGTTACTATAAGTCCATACCGAAAGGTATCAGAATCTGCAAAGTTGTGTTTTGCGTTGCATGTGACCTTTAACACTAAGTCTTTGTAACACAGATCTCTTAGAGAGAATTTGCAGTGGATAAGGACATAATATTTTCGTGATGTTTTGTTCACGGAATTATCAAAAACAATGATAGTCAAAACATTTGTGACAAACGCGCACCTGGCCAGTGAATATACGCCATTGTTTTGTCTATAAAACTACATAAACAAATTCAATGAACAAGACAATTCCTTTTAAAATCTGTGCATATACATTTCATGAAGTAAATAAATAAATCATTTTTATCAATTTTGTCAGTTTTACTTAGGTTTAAAATACTAAATGTTGATAATGAAATTAGTTTCATGAAAACATATCTGAACGATACGCAAATTATACATGAATACTAAAAGTGTAATCCACAGGACAGTGTGATTGTGGGAAGTAGGGAGGGGAATCCCCGAATTTAATGAGACTATTTACATTAGGACGTCATTAGATAATGATACGCTAATAAGTGTTTGATACAACCGTCTTTAATGTTGCCATTAACTAATGATGCATTTAGGGTTTAATGTATCATTAGGGTTTAATGTTGACATTAGTCAATGAAGCAATGATACAACCGGATCCTGCTAATGTAATCTGAGACCTGTGAAGATCCTGGTTAGAGCTGGTCTTCAGAACAAATGCTTATCAAAGGTTTGGTGGGTTTGTTGTTTAACGTCGCAGTAAGCAATATTCCAGCTGCATAGTGGCAGTTCCGGTGGCGGTGGCGCATCCCATGTGTGTGGAATAGCCATGTGATCCAGTGTGTGGTATAGCCATGTGATCCAGTGTGTGGTATAGCCATATGACATAGTGTGTGATATAGCCACGTGATCCCCTGTGTGGTATAGCCATGTGATCCAGTGTGTGGTATAGCCATGTGATCCAGTGTGTGGTATAGCCATATGACATAGTGTGTGATATAGCCACGTGATCCCCCTGTGTGGTATAGCCACGTGATCCCGTGTGTTGTATAGCCACGTGATCCCCTGTGTGGGGTATATCCATGTGATCCTGTGTGGTATGTATATCCATGTAATCTACTGGTTGGACGACGCTTCCTGGAGGTCCAGGTGGGCATTGACCTCCCCAAGGCCATGTTGACAATGCTTGACCAGCAGGAGAAGGACTTCTCCGACTTGCCGGACAAGTGATGGGGAACGCCATCATCACCCAGCAGACACCAGAGACCAATTGTCCGATGTAGTCCAGCAATATGAACATTGTTTTGTTACCAATGACATTGTATGTACTCCTTTTTAGCGGTCAAACACATGCTTCTGGAGTGAATAGAAAGAACCATAGATGTCACATTTTGCATTGATCGGGTTCATGAGTATTATCCCCAGCAACGCGTTTACGGGGGGTATTAAAATGGACTCTGTCCGTCCGTCCTTCCGTGCACATCTTTTCCGGAGCATAACTCTAAAACCGTTCAATATTTCTTCACCAAACTTGGCACATAGATAGATCTGGTGGTCTACTGGTGCCTTTTGGTAGTTTTGGATTTCTGAATATAATATATTTTGCATTTCCATGGCATCTAGTTTGACAGACTAAAAGTGGTAGTGTGACAGAACTAAAACCGTTCACTATTTCTTCACCAAACTTGGTAAATAGATAGGTCTAGTGGGGTACTTGTGCCTTCTGGTAGTTTTGGATTTCTGAATAAAGTGTTTTGGGCGTTTCCATGGCAACAAGTTTCACTTTGACTGAAATTGGTGGTAGTGCTCTTTTCTGGAGCAGAACTTAAAAACTGTTCAGTTTCATCACGAAATTTCATACATAGGTAGGTCTAGTGGTGAACCTGGTGCCTTTTGCTAGTTTTGGATTTCTGAATAAAATATTTCTTGCATTTCCATGGCAACAAGTTTGACTTTGACTGAAATTGGTGCTAGTACTCTTTTTCCGGAGCAGAACTCTAAAACCGTGCAATGTTTCTTCACCAAACTTGGCATTTAGATAGATCTGGTGGTGAACTGGTGCCTTTTGGTATTTTTTGATTTCTGAAAAAAATATTTTTGGCGTTTCCTTGGCAACAAGTTTCACTTTGACTGAAATTGGTGGTAGTGCTCTTTTCCGGAGCAGATCTTAAAAACTGTTCACTGTTTCATCACGAAATTTCATGAATAGGTAGGTCTAGTGGTGAACTGGTGCCTTTTGGTACTTTTGGATTTCTGAATGAAATGGAGGTGGGTGGTGGGGTGTGCGTTTCCATGGCAACAATTTTGGCTTCAACTGAATTTGGTGGTAGTGCTCCTTTCTGGAGCAGAACTTTGAAACCTTTCAGTACTCTCCTTCCACTTTTATATACACACCAAAACATTTGACATAATCATAAGTCGTAGACATATTCATGAAGAGTATTTTGTCATTGCGGGGGATATTGATGACTTTGTCTTCTTGTTGACATTCAATTACAAATGTTAAAATTACAATGGTTAGTTTTCAGTCTATTCCAGTTCAGATTTCCCCAGGATCAAGTCTTATGTACATTCAAGCTTTCAAAATCTGGACACCATTGTGGCATAATTGTAACTTGCAACAGTAACTGTATTACTGGAAACTCCTGGGAAACTGCTTGTGCTTTTGCTACTTGCCAGTGTTAGTGTTCTGTATGTGTTGTAACAATATTTCGTCTATTAAGGGAAGCATTTTTTGTTTGATGTTGTTGTGTTTAGTCCTGTTTATGTTTTATAGAAATAGGAAAGACTGTTCAGGTGAGAATACAGTACAGTTTCATATACTGAAGAAGCCAAGGCTCTGTCCCACAAAGAGATATTAACATTAGGATACTACTACACTTGTGACAGTGGTAGGGCTAAGATCACTTTGTGGGTGGGGCCCTGATGCCAGTTCCAGTAACGCTCATCCTACTGTTAAGATTACTGTTTGAAGGCCAAGAGTTGGATGTGGCGTATTGTGCAGATTAAACAACTGATCAAATTTATTATATGGTTTATCAATGGGAGCAAATATTTTGGAGTGAGGACAAGATGGGTGATTGGGTCTTGTGAGGTCATGTGGAAACATTTAGAATAAGGACCATTGTTTCAGCTGACAAGACGGGTGGTTGGGTTTTGTGAGGTCATGTGGAAATCAGGGCTCCAGATAATTTTCAACATCAGGAGTACAGACTCATTATTTGTTCAATATAAGAGTACTGTAAATGATTCTAAGACCTTTCACCATTGCTGTAGTGCGTATCTGATACGTTTTCTAAATTATTTCCTGCTGTATCGTGTATATTTTCTATCCGTACATACGTCGATACGGCCGTTATCTGAAGCCCTGGGAAATATTTAGAATGAAGACAGTCGTTTCAGCTGACAAGATGGGTGATTGGGTTTTGTGAGGTCATGGAAACATTTAGAATAAAGACCAATGTTTCAGTTGTTTAACAGGTTCACAGATTCAACTCAGATTTGATAATTAATAGATAATAAAAGACCACCTTGAAGTTAATGTTTTGCATTGGCGGAGCCAAGGGGGGTCCGAAACACACAGACACACATTCCTGGATCCGCCCATGCCTCACCTACAGTTTCTGCCTCAAATCCAAAACTTGAAAGTTGCTTTAAACGTAGCCGAGAGCTTAAAAAAAAAAGCTGTAACTTTTTGCTGAATATTGCATTAAAAGAGACTGTGGGCCTGAGCTGACTTTGATTATGGCATATTTGTTGATAAAAAATAATGCCCCTTGTGAGTAAATTGTGTTCTCAGTTGTATATTAAGCACTAACTTTCACTAGTGACTATGACCATGTAAATTTATATATCAACCATGGATATAGAAGCATTTAATACTGTTAAAAGAACTGTTTTTTGATGAGCTGAAAATGGTATGTAAAACATATTAAAGCAATAAGAGACATTCAGAGTATACATACACACAAAGTATTAATATACATATATTTTACTGTGAAACTTTTGCCTTTGATACATTAACTGCAGGTTGTTATTTGTCTGCATTATGTGTGTTGTTCTTGTTATCAGTAAAATATATAATCGTCAGGTTTTGTGTTCAGTTTCACACAACCCATCAGTAACTCATGCTTGTCGTAAGAGGCGACTAACGGATCGGTTGGTCAGGCTCGCTGACTTGGTTGACACGTCATGGAATCCCAACTGTTAGATCAATACTCATGATGTTGATCACTGGGTTGTCTGGTCCAGACTCGACTATGTACACATAGCTGGAATATTGCCGAGTGCTGTGCAAAACTAAACTCACTGTTTCACAGAAGGATTTAAAGTTAAGAAATTACTGTGTATTCCAGGCCAGGTGTGACAGCTTGATGATTGGGCTGCAAAGACCATTAAGTAATAAAGTTAAACTAATAAAAAATGATTATTTAGTTATTATTATTATTATCATTATTACATATTAAGATTTTGTTCTGTACTGCTTGGGGCATGGTTAGGTAGCCTAGTGGTTAAAGTGTTCGCTTGTCACACCGAAGACCCGGGTTCGATTCCCCACATGTGTTGACACCTCGTCAACTACTCTAGTATTGGGACTGACTTACTGAGTTTGGGTGTACGCCGCTTTTAGCAATATTCCAGCAACATCACAGCCCGGGACACCAGAAATGGGCTTCACACATAGTACCCATGTGATGATTCGAACCCAGGTCTTCAGTGTGACGAGCCACTGCTTTAACCACTAGGCTACCCCACCGCCCCTCTAGTATTGGGAGAGAGTCTTGTTAACACCTGTTGGGAAAACGAAGACTAATGTTTTTGCAGAAATTTCCAAATAGTATTTAACACGAGTAAAACAGGTCATGGAATTTTAGTTTGAGTTTCCATGTGCTTTAAACCTAACAGGAAGTTATTAAAGTCACGGAGGAATATCATTTTTATACCATCATTATATTTTGATAAAGTTACAATGACAGGACAATAAAACCTAACCATCAGACATATTTCATACTTGATTTACCACCTCCCCTAATTTGATCATACTGGATGATGACGAACCTAAATCAGAGCTCACCTGAGATTCTAACCCATGGTCATGTTCCTGGTACAACCAAGGGATGTAACTCTGCATGGAAATCAGGGCACCTTGGATGACAGTCAATTACACAACTTTACCACTTGACATAATGACAGACAATTAAGGCATATATGCAGATGACCCAGAAAGTCTTGGCTGCCTGGCCATCGAAGAGATATTTATACATGAAAACAAAAACATAAAAATAGGGGTCTGTGAATAGTGATGGATATATCCAAAGTGTACCCTTGCGTCAACCCGACAAAAGTACTAGAATCTGTACTTTACTAAGAAAGTGTAATCCCAAATTTAACATATGTTACTGGAAATTATGATGAAAGATCAGATATGATCATATGAATGACAGTTGGACTTTCATCTCAAACTGATATGTGTTGACCAGTGATTGAGTTGGTGTGGTCGTATGCCACTTTTAGCAATATTCCAGCAATAATATCACAAGGGGGTGGCAGAAAGTACCTTCGCACATTGTACCAATTAATTTTGGACATATTTCAGCCTTCTCTATGCTTTTGATGTTGTTGCAATCATGTGGTTGTTAAAACAAATGAAAAGTCAAGTTCTATTTCACATTTTTAAAAGTTTTGCTCAATTCTAAAATGATGTTGATATTGTCGGCAGCCCTTTTTTGTCCAGCTCTTCTCGTCTTGATCGTTGACTTGAGACTCCATTCTTGGTCCTAATTCCTACAGCTTTGAAGCTCATCACAGCCTGCTGTTAATAAAACACTTAAACAAAAATAACTTAACAAAACAGTCGGGTAAAATATGGAGTTATATTTAGCAGCTTGTTCCCTTCATATATTGGACCTTACTTGAACCGTCAAACCACATTCAAGTTTTAAAACAGAAGTCAAATTCCCCTGTTTGTGGGTTAAACTGGATCTGGAGTGAGATGGTGTGTCCGGCACTGACGATGCGAGGAGTTTTCAGCAGATGCACTCCCTGCCTAGTGTAGTAATCCCAGTCCACATTCTCCCCGACTCGGAGACTTGTTCGTGGACCCGTGGTCACGGTCCCTGTGTCCCTGAACTTCGTACTCTGTCCACAGAGCAATACCATTCAGGCAGCCATTCCTGTAAGTAAAACATGGCTGATGTTATCTCATTAACACTCGTCACATTGCCAATATTTCACAGGGTTGTACACACTATTCTCCATCATCTGTGAAGAGTGAGTGAGTATGGTTTTATGCCGTTTTCCAGCAATTTTATGGCGAGGAACACCAGAAATGGGCTTCACACATTGTACCCATGTGGGGAATCAAACCTGGAACTCAGAGTGACGAGTGGATGCTTAACCACTAGGCTACCCACTGCCTCCATCTGTGAAGACATACAACTGAAATGTGATGTATAAATTTACAAGTGTTGTAACAAGCCTCAAAATATAACAAAGTCATGTAGATCATCAAGCCCTAGTTTCCTTGCATCCTTGATAATCTCCAGGGTATACGTTACGATAAATCTTTCTTCCCCACCAAATCTGAGTCGCACTGCTAACAAACTTTCGCGGCTGCGACTGCTATCCTTGTTGACACTGGCAAGCTCGGTTGTAATGGCGGCTTATCTGATTGGCAACTGTGAGAATGCCAGCAAAGGGAGGTAATAACATCATTGGCTCGAGCTGTAGATGCATCCAGAGTATAGTGGAGATTTATCGGAACGTATACCCTGGAGATTATCGAGGATGAACTCCTTGTACATGTTGAATTAACTTTGTGAGAACCCTGTGGGTGCCTGACACTGTAACAAGTCATAGTTTATAACTAGAGTGGGTGAGTGAGTTTAGTTTTACGCCACACTCAGCAATATTCCAGCTATTTGGTGATGGTCTGTAAATAATCAAGTCTGGACCAGACAATCTAGTGATCAACAGCATGAGCATCGATCTGCGCAATTGGGATACGATGACATGTGTCAACCAAGTCAGCGAGCCTGACCACCCGATCCTGTTAGTCGCCTCTTGCGACAAGCATGGGTTCCTGAAGATCAATATTCTAACCCAGATCTTCACGGGTCTTATAACTAGAGGGTTACATGAGAATTATTGCAGATGTAATCTCAACACTTACTGGCTTTACACTTATTGTAATGAGGCAGTGGTGTTAATTAAATTTTATACGTTGTTCTACATAATAAAGAAGTTGATATCCATAAAATTTCCTTCTTTAAATACTGAATGAGGTCTTTGAATGGCATTCCAAAGTAATACACATGAGGAAGAGAATTTTATGGATGTCAATTTCTTTTTTATGAGGAAATGTTCCATAAAATCGTCCTCCCTAAACACTGAATGGTGTCTGAGGTATGCTCACGAAAAAATGATGGAAGGATGGAGTCTGTTTCTGTATCACTGAGCTTGTACAGGGGATAATTCAATCATTTTGACATGAAACTCAGAAATATTTAGAGCATCAGCACTGCTTACGTTTCTATTTGTAGTTCCACACTGGCTTCAACACTCTTCCCCTTCAAGTCCTTGCAGTGAAGCTGGACGACATCAACAGCGGAGGACAGCGCTTTGCCAGGATACTCCCACAGCGGCTGTGGCTCAACGTTACTGTCCGATATATCAGACGAACTCTGTCAAAACAGACAGGAGTCACGAAAAGATGACAAATCTTCCAAACCCAACAAATTTGAAAAAATTAAACCAAATCTACGTTATCCAGTGATCAACAGCATGAGCATCTTACTACACAATTGGAACCGATGACATGTGTCAACCCAGTCAGCAAGCCTGACCACCCGATCCGGTTAATCAAATCTTATGATAAGCATGGGTTACTGAAGACCAAATCTAACCCGGATTTTCATGGGTCGATATTGATATGGAAACATACCACGGTAATAATCACTTGAATGTAATATCATGTGAACTTATAAAATAACTTTCCAATATTTGCCCATGAACAACAAACAGGGACTGCACATTTTTAGGCCCTGGGGTTAATTACAGATTGCTATTATTTTAATTGTTTACCCTTTAGTCAGAAATAAAACCTCGGTATTAAAATGGAAAAGGCAAAAAACATGATACGAAAACGAATAACACAACTTGAAAGAAACAATTCTCAAACATGGAATGAGAGAACACTTTCACAAAAGAATGATTTTCTTTTCCAAATTAAAAATGATGAATCAAGGACAGGACAATCCTCAGTTTTAAACTTTTATCAACTTGTATGATATATTTTAAATCAAAAGACTTTGATGACTTTCTGTACATCTTGGCACCTACTTCAATTAATCGGTCAAACTCTGTAATATCGAAGCCCTCACAGACACCGACAGGAGCCCGAATCTTCCACAGGTGGTCAAAGTCCATAGCGACAGCTTTTATCACCATCCTCCCTGGCAGAACGACAGCATCAGCAGCAAGGTGAGCTTCAAGGTCGGAAATGGCGTACCACACGTGCACATTGTGCCACGGCAACACGGAGGAGGAGAAATAGGGTTCGCCTACAACTACATCCACCTACAAATAGAACAATATTTTGTTTCAAACTTCACATGTTAAAGAAAGATTTAAATACTGGGTTATAACTTATTACTTCAACTAATCTGAATAATGAATATAGGGTTTAACCCTTTTGTATAATCTTGTTCCATTTTTTCCCAGGCAATTCAATTACTTATTAAATTAGTTTGTTTTGGGACATACTAGTACATTACAAAAAAGGATCAGTCCAAAATGATAAATACAATCTGATCAACAGAAACTCCAAGCCATTGGTTTATGTCACTGACAAGCAAATCTATTATCATTGACCCACGATTTATTGCTAAGCCATAGAATCATTACTTACAGACACCCAAGTTACCTGAACAAAGATTCAAAGATTAAAACAACTGAATGTTTCCTAACATTCTCAACTGCCTATTTGCACTTCTTAATACTTTTTCCCCAAATTGAGAAACATTTATGAATTTCACATTCCATGTTCCAAATCCTCAGTGTATTTTTTAGGGGTGGGTATTGCGCAGAATTTTCATATTGCAATATATTGCGATGCGGAAACATATATTGCGATATGTATTGCAATATATTGCAAGGATTATTTTGTTTAACAAAAACTACTTATAATCGAGTTAATGCTTGATTATAAAGCAAAAACACAACAAAATCACTATGATTGATTAACCTTTTATAAAAACTTTTAATCATGACAAAATAAAAATGTAAGTAATATTTGGCACTAATGAAACAGGGAAATACCTTAACAATCCAGTTAAATGTAATTTTCACCACGATCATTCCCACCACCCTTACCACAATTTCCACAATCATCAAGATTTTCCGAGTGTTACGAAGTTTTCCGAATGCATGTCAAAATACCGGTTTTCAATCAGCAATACGTATCGTTTTCATGTCTGAACTGGTAAATACCGGTAAACTGGTTATATTGCGCAGCCCTAGTTTTTTTACAGAAAGGTATCACAAGTTAGGAAATAATTCCGAGGTCTCAGTATTTTCAGTCTTCTCAACACCTAAACAGGAACAGCTGTAACACAAATGGAGACCACTAAAGATTCTCAAGACAAACAGGAACAATACTCCGCAAGTTATGTTCCAGCTCCTTCTGGCTTTTCTCAAAAAATCCCCAGCACTGATACATGTCATCAATGTAAAAACCTGATAGAATGATCAGGATCAGGGACTTGTTGCCGAGACAACATGGTTTGTCTTTTACTATATCAATAACTTGTGTAACTGTAAAATATACAACAACAATCAAATAAATTTCCCCTTATCATAAAGTGCAGAGATGCCAACCCCAAAGTGTTGCAAATACATGTAGTAGTGTCAAGGATCAAAATTAGTAGTTTGACCATAAAATTAGTAGTCATCTAAATGTTTAAAATCAAGAGTGAAGCTTCAATTTCACATTCCGGTTTCGTATAATCGAACGGAAGGAACGGTCACGTGGTTAAATCATTCAGATTGGATCATCATTTTCCGCCAGTACACAATAAGTGGGTCAAATCGCAAAAGTATTGAAATCAGCTTCAGATTTCTGATAGACAATTTTGCTAAAATTACGCTTGTTACTTGCAATGATTCCAGTTCAAATATGTCATTAAATTTGATGAATGGAAGATAAGTGAAGTCCGAAAATGTATTAAATCGACAAAAATATATGTTTTTGTCTATATATCCGAATTTTAATTAATTTTCTTCAAATTTCTTAGAATTTCTAGTGCAATCGTATTGGCGTAGTTTGAGGCTAAAATTTGTAGCGACTACGATAAACTCATAGAGGTTGGCATCTCTGAAAGGGGTATGTCAGGATCACACCTGTGCTAGCAGGTTACATAGAACTGAAACTCTTCATAAGAGCATTGAATCCAACACCTGCTCACTCACTCACTCACTCACTCACTCACTCACTCAACGTTCCACTGTTTGTACCTGCAGGTTGTCCAGGTCATTCCGGTTAATCTCATGTGGCTGTTTGTCGATGACAGTGACTCGATCTCTGAGACTGTTATGCTGGATGAGAGTATCAGTGATTTTCTTGTACATGGGGTTCGTCTCAATCACAAACACCTGGAAACAAAATCAGGGACAATATCTGGTTTGCAGTGTCACAAAATATAAAGAAAACATCAACAGTCTTGTGATTTATTTCTCTCTCTTTTTCTCTCTGCGACAAGATAACTCGGAAAAGACATACTTTGACAAGACTTTTCTGTTGAACCATTTCAATTTTTGTTGTTGAGCCTGAAGCAAAACAAATGTATGAACTTTTTCACTTGCTGAATTTCATTATCTTTGCCTTCCTAAATTACATCAAAACAGAATCCTTAATATTGTTTCTTTATACAAATGAACTATTTCATTCACTCAGATAAGATATGCATTACCTTCCTTGCTCTTGAGGCGGCCATCAATTACATCAAAACAGAATCCTTAATATTGTTTCTTTATACAAATGAACTATTTCATTCACTCAGATAAGATATGTATTACCTTCCTTGCTCTTGAGGCGGCCATCACAGACAGCAGGCTTCCATCGCTGATGCACAGACATACACTGGTCTCCTTTACATGCTGTAACACAAACATACAGTATCATGATCCATCAGTGTAACACAGGCATATAGTGTCATGATCCACCAGTGTAACACAATCATACAGTGTCATGATCCACCAGTGTAACACAAGTATACGTCATGATCCACCAGTGTAATAAGCAGTGTGTCATGATCCACCAGTGTAACACAAGTATACAGTGTCATGAACCACCAGTGTAACACAAGTATTCAGTGTCATGAACCACCAGTGTAACACAAGTATTCAGTGTCATGATCCACAAGTGTAACACAAGTATTCAGTGTCATGATCCACAAGTGTAACACAAGCATACAGTGTCATGATCCACCAGTGTAACACAAGTATACAGTGTCATGAACCACCAGTGTAACACAAGTATTCAGTGTCATGATCCACAAGTGTAACACAAGTATTCAGTGTCATGAACCACCAGTGTAACACAAGTATACAGTGTCATGAACCACCAGTGTAACACAAGTATTCAGTGTCATGATCCACAAGTGTAACACAAGCATACAGTGTCATGATCCACCAGTGTAACACAAGTATACAATGTCATGATCCACCAGTGTAACACAAGCATACAGTGTCATGATCCACAAGTGTAACACAAGTATTCAGTTTCATGATCCACCAGTGTAACACAAGTATACAATGTCATGATCCACCAGTGTAACACAAGTATACAATGTCATGATCCACCAGTGTCACACAAGCGTACAGTGTCATGTTCCACCAGTGTAACAAGCATAGTGTCATGATCCACCAGCAAAACAAACAGTGTCATGATCCACAAGTGTAACACAAACATACAGTGTCATGATCCACCAGTGTAACACAATCATACAGTGTCATGATCCACCAGTGTAATAAGCATAGTGTCATGATCCACAAGTGTAACACAAGTATACAGTGTCATGATCCACCAGTGTAACACAATCATACAGTGTCATGATCCACCAGTGTAACACAATCATACAGTGTCATGATCCACCAGTGTAACACAAACATACAGTGTCATGATCCACCAGTGTAATAAGCATAGTGTCATGATCCACAAGTGTAACACAAGTATACAATGTCATGATCCACCAGTGTAACACAATCATACAGTGTCATGATCCACCAGTGTAACACAATCATACAGTGTCATGATCCACCAGTGTCACACAAGCATACAGTGTCATGTTCCACCAGTGTAACACAAGCATACAATGTCATGATCCACCAGCAAAACAAACAGTGTCATGATCCACAAGTGTAACACAAACATACAGTGTCATGATCCACCAGTGTAACACAATCATACAGTGTCATGATCCACCAGTGTAATAAGCATAGTGTCATGATCCACAAGTGTAACACAAGTATACAGTGTCATGATCCATCAGTGTAACACAAACATACACTGTCATGACCCACCAGTTTAACACAAGCATACAGTGTCATGTCCACCAGTGTAACAGACAGTGTAATGATCCACCAGTGTAACACAAGCATACAATGTCATGATCCACCAGTGTAACACAATCATACAGTGTCATGATCCACCAGTGTAACACAAGCATACAAAGTCATGATCCACCAATGTAATATTACAATGATAGCGGAATCCACCAGTGATATCAAAACTTGAAGACGAAGAGATCCTCCCGTACCTACCTTCTTCAGAGCAGCCTTGAGGATACTAACTCGGTGTGGGTCACCCATCATCCCGATACGTGTCCGACTCAGAGTCGTGTGGAAAGCACAGGTACACAATGGCCGCTCCAATACCTGTGATGTATCTCTGGAACAAATAGGACATCCTGAAGCACCTGACCACCCAATCCACACAGTATATCCTGTTGCCTAACCACCCAATATATCCTGTTGCCTAACCACCCAATCCACACAGTATTTCCTGTTGTCTAACCACCCAATCTACACAGTATATCCTGTTGCCTAACCACCCAATCTACACAGTATATCCTCTTGCCTAACCACCCAATCTACACAGTATATCCTGTTGCCCAACCACCCAATCTACACAGTATATCCTGTTGTCTAACCACCCAATCTACACAGTATATCCTGTTGCCTAAGCACCCAATCCACACAGTATATCCTCTTGCCTAACCACCCAATCCACACAGTATATCCTCTTGCCTAACCACCCAATCCACACAGTATATCCTGTTGTCTAACCACCCAATCCACACAGTATATCCTGTTGTCTAACCACCCAATCTACACAGTATATCCTGTTGCCTAACCACCCAATCCATGAGACATCCTGTAGCTGGTGACTAACGGGATCAGGTACCCCAATCGCTTAGAGGTTACCAAATGGATCAAGTTCTGCCACTTGACTTATTGTATATTATCATACACCAATTTCCTGGATAGATTCTCTTGATCACTGGATTGTCTGGTCCTGATTTGATTATTTACAGACTGATGTCATATAGCTGGAATATTGGTAAGTGCTGCATAAACAACAAACCAACCAACTGACCAACATATCTGTACAGGGTGTCCTGTAGGCTGACCACCAAATCTTTTTGGACATCTCTTGGTCTTATAACAAAGTTAGGCCACTCGGGACCTATTTTAATCTAAAGTGGCTAAATATCTGATGATCTTGTGTCTGATAAAGAAACTATAAAGGCATTACCTGATTACCTGAGACAAAGTAATTCCCAAATTCAATACCTACCCTTGCTTAGTGGCATCAAACCAGAGACTGTATTCGTCATGGCAACTGACAAGTGTGAAAGGTTCACTCTTAGTCACAGGTAAGGGATTGCTGGGGTAGTAGATAGCCTGCATCCAGTGATCCCGCCACTGCAACACAGACATCATCATCATCATCATCACTACCAACAACATCATAATCACCAGAGGTGAGGTGAGGTGAAATTGGGTTTAACGTTGTGCTTGAGAATATTTCGCTCATATGACGACGTGTATGCGTGTGTATGTGTATGTGCGGCTGCTTGTACTAGCCCAGACTGAAGCTGGTTTTATAGTGCTAGCCCATTGAGATACCAAGCCGCAGTGAAGCATGAATACCCAACTGCGACACATTATACTCCGAGCCGACCAGTCCTTGTTGTATCCATTAATGCCGAGCGCCAGGCAGGGACCAACAAGTACCATATTTTAATGTCTTTTGGTATGACACGGTCGGGGATCGAACCCTCGACCTTCCGCTCTCCGGGCGGACGCTCTAACCACTACACCACGGAGGCGGTACTAATCACCAGAGTAAACATCATCTTCATTATGCTGTCAAATCATTGGGGATGCAAAGACACAGAGACTAATGATTAATCACAACACGTTTTCTTCCGTACAGTCTAAGTAAACTTAGGCTCAGTATTAATGCTGTGGTAAGCTGTGTTCTGATTGGACCGTTGAAACGGTCACCTGACGCGACCTTCCACAAGGTTTTGTTAGACTCAGTATAGCAGTGTAACGAATAATACTGAGCCTAAGTTTACTTAGACTGTCTTCCGTATGACCGCTATCAGCCCTGTGTTGAACTGTTTGTTTGACTAAAAATATGGAATAAAAACATGGTACATACATAACCTGATCCAGACACTTCACCATATTTACAAGGTGACAAATATCAGTAGATATCTCCATACCGGCAAATTGCTTCCATCTGGATGGGCCCATCGAGGTGCACAGCTAAGAGTTATCTCCCCTTTGGGGTCCATCTCACAGTCCCACCACATGAAGACAGCATCCACTGCTCCATCACTGTCTGCAGACACTATGACTTCACTCCTCCGGTCAGGCTTCAGACCTCCTTTACAGTTGAAGTCAAACCTGTCAACCGAATAATCAGTTTGACCCATGGTGACTGGACAACTTCACAAATATGAATTACAGAGTATCCCTTATGATTTGACAAACACCAGAGGGAAGTACTGAAATCCCTGTTAATATGATAATCTTGCTAATGAGAAATACAGCGTAATCTTGTTAATCCAACAACCTTTCTAAAAAGGAAATAGTGAAGTCTTGTTAATCCAACATCCCTTCAAAAAGAGAAATACCATTAAAACTTTGATAATCTGACAACCATTCCATTTACAGTGGAATTTTATTAATTCAGCATCTTTTTAAGTGAGAAATACTGTCAAACCTTCTTAAGCCATCATTGTTTGAAAAGAGATATAACTGAAATCTAGCTACTCCATCATCCCTTTCAAAGAGAAATACTGTGAAATGGTTTTAATCCAAGACCCCTTCCAAAGAGAACAAGTGTATGCCACTGATATGGCAATGTCCCCCGACACTAAAGAATAGAATATTTATAACATATTTACTACTTTTTATTTTTTGGTCACATACAAGATGCTTGAAATGACTGGTGTCTGCATAATCACCCAATGTAGGCTGTCACCTAATTTGAAGACATTGGGTAGAACAGTGCATGAGATATCATGTTAACAACAGTTTGAAAAGTGTTGTGGTGACCTTGAAGGTAAGATCAAGGTCACCCAAATCGACTGGTGTCTGTGTAATCCCCCAATGTAATCTGTCACCAAATTTTAAGACATTGGGTACAACAGTGCAGGAGATATTGCGTTAACAAGAATCGGGATGTACGGACGCCACTGCATACATAGTCCCCCGATCTGCATCACGACGGGGGACAATTAGAGATAAATAACCCTTTCATACAAATAAACAGTGAAACATTGTCAATAGCCTCCTACCTAAACACCTTCAATGGCGTCGACAGCGGTGTGAACTGCTGTTCTGGTATCTGGTCCAGTTGGAGGTCGTGCAGGGACGGCGCTCCACCACACCGCGACACTGCACCTGGAACGCTGCCTTCAATGGTGGAGGTGTCAATTTGGTTCCAGCGTCGTATCAAGTCCGAGGACACCGGCTGTGCGAACATGTTATCGGCTCGGGGGATGACAATACAGTCGTCCTGACAACAGAGGAGAGATCTTGATATCGTTAAAACTCAACAGTGAAATACTGACCCTTACCTACATGACAAAGGAATGAACAAAAATGGCTTCTGGGCTAAAAAGACCAGTGCAACTTCACCTGATCACATACATAGTTTGGAATGACAGTATGGTTTTACCCAGCTTTTAGCAATATTCCAGCAGGTGACACCAGAAGTGGGCTTCACACTTTGTACCCATATGGGGAATGAAACCCAGGTCTCTGGCATGATGAGTGAACACTTTAACCACTCGGTTAACCTAACGACATATTCAAGACTATTGCACTTACAAAGCAACAATATTCAGTGATCAGATGACTTGAATAAGTGGCCGAACAAGATCAGGTTCCTTGTTGACTGTTGTATACAGAGCTCCAGATAAGATTTAGCTCACGTGGGTACTGTACCCACTGTATTTTTTTGGAGTGGGTATCATGAATGTTGAGTGGGTATTTCATTTTCCGTTACCCATTGCTTTCAAATATGTGCATATTTCAGTCATTTCACTCACCTAAGTATTACGTCATTGAGTAAGTTTACTAAGCAGGTATTGTCTGCCTCATGTCATACCTAATCAAAACCTACTTAAATATAATGGAAATGATTTCATAAAAAATCACTCATCCTATACTGACAGTACAACACTTGTCCTATACTAACAGTACAACTTGATAGGAATCGATGTCTTTTTCATTAAGCAAGCGATTTTTATAAATATACTCTGTACGCATTTGTTTTAAACTTTTTGCGTATCTAACATTTTAAATGCGTAAATGGTACGCAACAATTATATTTTCAATGCGTACTTGGAAATTTTCTGTGCGTATTTTACCCGGATACGCAGCTTATCTGGGCCTCTGTGTATACATACATCATGATACATACCACTAGCAGTTCCTTGTGAGCATGGTTGAATGTTCCTATGGCTCCAAACACTTCCGCCAATGAGGCTCTGTGGGGCATGTCATCAAACATAAAGTTATTATGTATACTGACTGACTGAGTTTGACCAGAACATTGGCTCTGTGGGCTTCACTCATTGTACCCATGTGCATGTCACCATCTAAAGATAAAGATATTATGTTTATCATGAGTTATTGTGTATGAGATATTGTTTATATCATGTGTATACAGTGTGCGAAATAGTTTCCAAATTTTGCTAGCCAGTCGGGCTCGATGTGCCTGACAGTTACTAGCCCACAAAATAATTTATTAGCCCGAAATTTAATGTAGGGTTTCTTCATTAAGCTGCTAATATGGTGACTATTTTATCAGGACATAATCTTGCATGATTTAAAAGTGTATTATAACTTAACAAGTCAGAGAGAGTGATATATTTACGAAATGACCCCGTGATAATTCATTAGCCAGTCGGGCCAGTGACTGTGGAGATTGACTGGCCCAACTGGATTTTTACTAGCCATGGGCTGGTGGGCCAGTGGCTATTTTGCACACTGTGTGTATATCAGGTGTATCACATGTACATCAAGAGTGTATCATGTATATATCAAGAGTTACTGTGAAACATGTATTAGATCTTGTTTACAGATGTGTATATCAGGATAATCATAGATCACATATTCAGTCAACATGTCAAACAATGTTGTACATTTCAAGTCCCTTGTAACTCTACACAGAATGACTCACCTGGACCTACTGTCAGTTCAGTTGATCTCTTGGGAATGAGATTAATTTTGTCCCCCAATTTATTTCTCTGCATAATCTTTGCAGCACACTTTGCCATGGGTTTGAATGCCTAGAAATACAAGAAAAGTATCAACATGAACAGATCATGATCACAGACAAGATCTTTATTTGTGGTTTATATCAATACAAAACTCCGGAATAGAGTCACAATATTCTTACCATGTCAGCTTGATGAATGAGGTGAGGTGAAATTGGGTTGAACGTCGTGCTTGAGAATATTTCGCTCATATTTCGTGCATGCGTGTGTATGTGTATGTGCGGCTGCTTGTACTAGCCCAGACTTAAGCTGGTTTTATAGTGCTAGCCCACTGAGATACCATGTCGCAGTGAAGCATGAATACCCCACTCAGACACATTATACTGACTCCGAGCCGACCAGTCCTTGTTGTACCCATTAATGCCGAACGCCAGGCAGGGACCAACAAGTACCATATTTTAACGTTCTTTTGGTATGACGCGGTCGGGGATCGAACCCGCGATCTTCCGCTCTCCGGGCGGACGCTCTAACCACTACACCACGGAGGCGGCGCTTGATGAATGAGTTCTCCTCCTTGGTCATGTAGCAAGGTGTTTGATTTTGGATGAGATTTGTGGTTCAAATCTCACCAAGTATTTCGGAAACGTTATGGATTGTCAGTCAACCATTAACTATTTTGCCAGCTTTGTATCTGCATTTTACATTCTATTCATTCTAGTAGTTAAAGGTGTAATTTGAGATACAAGATAAATATAAAATTACATAACATTATTCCTGAAGGATACTTTGACCAATGTACTTAAAGTCATGCACACATCCTGGTTGGTTGGTTGTGTTTCTGCACATAACTGTGATCAACAAGGGGAAGAGTCTATTTACTGGTTACATAGGTGTGTGAGTGCCAAAGAACACTCCAACAAATGTTATCATCTGATATTGTCCTGTTTTACATCAGTTTTTCTCACCTCACATGCAGTTACAGAGTCAGCCCCAGCTGAGGCGGCCATCATGGACAGAAGACCAGTTCCTGTTCCAATGTCAAGGACATGGGCTTTTTGCCTTTGATCATGTAGCATCTTGATGGCTATTTTCAAAGCATCATAGTACTTCTGGTTCTGCAAGGAACAGGTTCAAGTACAAATTAGTAGACAACATTCATGTATGAATTATGCAATTGTTATTACCTCTAAGAGATTTTACCTTGTCAGATAATGGAACAAATTTGATAAAATCTATGAGCAATATTGTCATGATAGCTGGAAAGTCATTACAGGGATTAATCTAGGCCTGCTCAGCCTGCAAATTCAGCTTGGGTAATCAAATTACAATTTATATTGCAACCATTAGCTCTCACTGCCACCTGCTCTGTTTATTTGCTACAGATGACATCTTGTCATGGAGTATTCTGGTCACAATCTTCATGGGTACATAAATTAATCAGATGTGATAGCCACTGACAATGATGATGATAATGCTTGCTACCATGACTAACATTCATATTAATTCATGTTGATATTAATAAGTAAGTTCCTACATGATGATAGTACATCATCCATTAGTTAATGCAATATGCCACATTCGCACATCACAATGATTAAACTCCCTTTTACAGTTGGTTCAATCTTTAACACGAAATTTAACTTGTGTCATGGGCACAACCTTTATACTGAGTGAGTATAATTTTATGCCATTCTCAGCAATATTTCAGCTATATGGCAGTGGTTTGTAAATAATCGAGTCTGGACCAGACAATCCAGTGAATAACAGCATGATCATCGATCTACACAAAAGGGATACAATGACATGTGTCAACCAAGTCAGCGAGCCTGACCACCTGATCCCGTTTAATTGTTGCCCTCACGACAAGCATTGGTTACTGAAGATCAATTCTAACCTGCTGACCACCTGTATAATTTTATGAAAATGGTAAGTAAGTTTAAGGTTTGATTGGTACATAAATTCCTTACCCTCTCTGTGTCATGCAGCATATCTGCATAAGCTGACCTGAAACAAGATTCACCTTCATCAGAACCACCAAGACGCCAATCATATGTTAATAAACAGTACTGCACTTTACCGGGCGCACTTTTCAGATTAATTAGCGCTAAGCTGTCGTTCCCTAACCACAAGGATCGTCAACTGTAATAATGTGCCTGTCCCTATATTTTCGTATATAATGGCATACCCTAACCCTAAACCCTAACCCTAAGGATCGTTTCAAACAGGAGCAGTCTGGAACAAATATTATTTGAAATAAACCAAACCGGCCATCGTCGTCTTTTTCTTAAAATATGTAATCAGGTTAAAGGAATACCTGCATATCAGTTACCATATCAGTTACTATAATAACAAAAAAACGAGAAAGAATTATATTTCCATCACGATGATGTAACTGACCTGGCTATTTCTTGGTGGTAATCATAATTTTCGTCTTGCATGATCCAGTCCATTTTGCCTGTAACTGGATTTGCATGAGAGACAAAAGTGCTCATCTTAGAGATAAATCGTGATAAAGGTTGTTCGGTTGAATACAGCAGGCGCGTCAGCACACAGACGATCAGCATTACATATTCACACGACTGACATGTTCAGCGAGATCATGTGCGCATGGAAGTCGCCATTTTGTAACATTATCGAAGGGAGGCTACTCTAATGAAACACACATATGTGCAGACCACAACAAAAAGATGACATCACACACAGACGATATGTTGTGCGCATTTCCCCATGCATAATAGTTCATTTCACAATACTTATATTTAAAAAATCTTTTTTTAATTACTGTCACAATTAAGATGCAATAAATTTCACATAGCTGAGTTGTTTCCATTACAGATGTTCTTCATGAAAGAACACCTCAGGTTTAGATATAAAATCTGGACAAAACATTACAACGGACAGACAAGCTGAATACTATACCTACCCGTATTATATACCAGGGGACTAACAAGTGTTGCATCTGTTTCCACAAATAAGACCATAAAGATACACAAAACACTAGAACAACAATAATAATAATACGATGCTTGTATCTCATCCCCGAATTTATAGTACATCGACCCGTGAAGATCCGGGTTAGAATTGGTCTTCAGCAAACCATGCTTGTCGTAAAGGGCGACTAACGGGATTGGGTGGTCAGGCTCGCTGACTTGGTTGACATACCTCATCGTATCCCAAATACGTAGACCTGTGCTCATGCTGTTGATCACTGGAATGTCTATTCAGGACTCGATTATTTACATACCGCCGTCATATAGCTGGAATATTGCTGAGTGCTGCGTTAAACAACAAACCAACCAACTACAGTGTATCACCATATCATGAATATTAACATACACTGGGGAACATAACATCAGAAGAGAGTTGAGATATAAACTTGGACCAAGGACTGTCTTTTATGTCGCTGAACCAGTCCCAAAAATACTAGGGCTGCGCAATATAACCGGTTTACCGGTATTTACCGGTTCACATATGAAAACGATACGTATTGCGATACGCTGATCGAAAACCGGTATTTTGACATGCATTCGGAAAACTTCGTAACACTCGGAAATCTTGTTGATTGTGGAAATTGTGGTAAAGGTGGTGGAAATGATCGTGGTGAAAATTACATTTAACTGGATTGTTAAGGTTTTTTCCTTGTTTCATTTGTGCCAAATATTATTTACATTTTCACTTTGTCATGATTAAAAGTTTTTATCAAGGTTAATCAAGCATAGTGATTTTGTTGTGGTTTTGCTTTATAAATCAAGCATTAACGCGATAATAAGTAGTTTTTGTTAAAAAAACATCTTGCAATATATTGCAATACATATCGCAATATATGCTCTCGCATCGCAATATGAAAATTCTCTGCAATACCCACCTCTACCAAATACTGATATTGTTTTGTGTTTCTTTTGAGAACATATGCCTCCTACCCCATCCACAAAGTCCCCTCCACTTTTGTTTCGTCCATTTTTCATGCCAACCCACACGACCTTGTAATACACGGACTGCTCCTTAGACAACCTGCTGATGGTCTTATGTGCAGTGTTAACATTTCTGAGTTTGAAATATATATTTCGAAAGAAACCCCGACTTCTGCACCAATAGCAGAGAGAAACGTTGGTTTCCCAAAAATGAAATAATTTTGATTAACGGGGGGAAATTGTGAATAGCAAACATAATCTTTTGTGTTCGATTTTTCTTTGGTTAGTTTCACTTCGAATTATTGACAATAACTGACCCGTACTGTGATTTCATATCACGCCGATGGGTACCGGTAGTCTAGTGGTTAAAGCGTTCGCTCGTCACGCCGAAGCCAGGGGTCGATTCCCGACATGGGTACAATGTGTGAAGCTCATTTCTGGTGTCCGCCGCTGTGATACTGCTGGAATATTGCTAAAAGCTGCGTTAACTAAACTCACTCACCCACTACTTCATATCAACGATATCACCATTAGTTTCTCTCTTTCTTTTTGTTGACTGTTTGTAGCAGACACATAATGTACCTAAAACGTCTGTGATTGTATTACACAGTGTCCCAATCACACGAGTTTGCTTGTTTTAGCAGTATACAACTACATAGACCCAAAATGCTTCTACCACCTGCTACCGGAAAATTAAACATTAATGACATTGTTTCAACGACTTGTAGGTCCGGTAACGTTTAAACTACTTTTTTTTAAAGCATTTTCTTATGTCTGGCAGTTCGCTGAGTGAGAGTATGGTTTCACAACCCTTTTAGCAATGTTCCAGCAATATCACGACTGGGACACCAGAAATAGGCGTCACACATGGGGAATCGAACCCGGGCCTCGCCGTCACCTCCCTTGATACGGACCGCCTCCCTCCCTAACCTTGTCTATAAAAGAAATCAGAAGGAATTGGGAATGGTTTTATTCCTTGCGTGCAAACAATGGGTTTGTTTAAAGTGTTTTAGAAACTATGCCACTTTAACAGCTGTTTTATTACACTCAAAATAATACAACGTTGAATGTACAGCTGTTTGTGAGTGAGTGAGTGAGATTTGTACACAGCGTTATCAGTGCGGGGAACAGAGTAAATACAAACATGTGTTAGGTTTAACAGTACACCCGTTATTTTGACTTTTTTTTCTCCACTGCTAAACGTCGCAATCGGCAATATTCCGATAATGTGGCGGCGATCTGTAGATAATCGAGTGATCGACATCATGAGCATAGATCTACGCAATCGATATGCGATCATATGGATCAAACAATTTAGCGAGTCTGACCACCCGATCCCGTTAGACAGCTCTTACCCTTTTTTTACTGTGTGTTGACCAGCTGAATGTGTGAGGATAGATCAAGGTGGGTGAGATGAAATTGGGTTTTACGTCGTGCTTGAGAATATTTCTCTCACATGACGACGTGCATGCGTGTGTATGTGTGTGTGCGGCTGCTTGTACTAGCCCAGACTGAAGCTGGTTTTATAGTGCTAGCCCACTGAGATACCATGCCGCAGTGAAGCATGAATACCCCACTCAGACACATTATACTGACTCCGAGCCGACCAGTCCTTGTTGTACCCATTAATGCCGAGCGCCAGACAGGGACCAACAAGTACCATATTTTAACGTCTTTTTGGTATGACGCGGTCGGGGATCGAACCCGCGACCTTCCGCTCTAACCACTACACCACGGAGGCGGTCGTGAGGATAGATCAAAGTTGTACAGGTCTCGGACGTTTGTCGCTTCGGTGAAATCACACGAGTAGGGGCGTGGCGTTGGCAAACCTTGAAAAATATTCGGGACGGAACTAAATTCGAATCAATAATGAAACATATGGATAACAACTTGTTTATTGCATAGTTCGTCGTTTCGGTGTAGATTCTTAGCTTGATAAACGGCGTAAAATCCGCATCGAAACGTCGCTCTATGCTATAAACAAATTGTCATCCACAAAGTCATATGCTTCACTATTGACTCACCAACTTCTTGAATGCCAATACAACGATTAAATCCGAATCATGTCCAACAACGCAACTCCGCACATCGACACCAGAAGTCTGTCGGAGTAACGTGAAGTTTACACAGTCTGTGCTTGGATGACCAGATCATGCAGTTCAGAATGCAGACAATCACTTCAAATCACATATTGTTTCATTCCGCATGGATTCGCTTTTTGTAGGGTACGAGTAATTCAGTTGTTCAGACACGAGTGGGTTTGGGTTGTCCAATATTTGGGTACGAGACCACCAAAAAGGTTTGGGTACGAATCACCTGGGACGGACTATCCAGTTCCGGTCAGTCTACACTGAACTTGTACCTATATCTGCCCAGTCTCTTGATATACTTCTCTTCAGTTGAGGTTAGGCTTTTGACAGGACAAGTCATAGAAAGTCCCTTAATTAATTGTTATTAAGCGTATTTGATACACGTGGACCAACAAGAAAGGACAAAAGTACAGTAGCTCACCTGGTCTGATGAGCATAATGTTCTTCTGTAGTTAAACTCTCAGTCATAAGAAAATGTTTTCAAAAAGGGAAAAGTAATTTTGGTTTGGTTGTTGCTTCACGCTGCACTCAGCAATATTCCAGCTATACGTCTGTGGTCAGTAAATGTGGACAATCCTGTGATCAACAGCATGAGCATCGATCTACTAAACTGGGATTCGAGTGAGCTTGACAACCCGATCCCGTGTGTTGCCTCTTACAAGCATGGGTTGCTGAACACCAAAGCAGTTAAACGTTACCAAAGCTAACCATCGTACATATACGACACATATACCGTATATAAACTATTATGCTAAAAAACGCCAGTGAGTAAAAACTTCAAGAATTGTTTAACTGTAACAAATGTGTTTTAAAAACACTATGCACATTCTTTAAAAACCAAGAAAACTAAAAACCTCCATGTAAACCATATATCTGACTATCCTATGTATTCAAATTTGTTCCTCTTATGCCAAGAATCCTTGCCTGAGCCTAATAAAAGTTCTGGTCTGTTTTGTTGAAACAGGTCATTATTCTTCTGAAATGCTGTAAGTATTGAGAGATAAGTTCACCATCCCATTCTATGTTAAAATTACATGCTATCAACAGCCACAAGGATCCTGACTAGGGGGATCACGTTGCTGACCTCCACAAGCATATCTTCCTGGAACCCAGTTTCACTATTTTCTTCGGTTATTCAAAACAACAATCTTTCTACATTTGTTTAGTTTATTAACAATATAGACTTTGTACAACCTAACATACAAGCTCAAGGTGGACTCGATCTTCAGATCCTCAACACGCTCTTCTTCAATATGAACGTTTAGGTGAGGGGCTTGGCAGACTGATAGGATGTGGGACAGATCTGAAACACAGAACATCACACACTGGTAAACAATACCCCTGGACAATTTGCTGATCTAAAAAGTCATGATATACAGGTCACGTCTAGAATAGTGATCTGGTTGTGCTTCGTATGTACATTACATATATCTTTCATGTACATTACATACACTTTTCATGTACATTACACATATCTCTCGTGTACATCGTTGCAATATGGGTGAAACAAGGCCTTTGCGATGCACTCACTCTCATGGAGTCATAACATGTATATCTCATGTCAATATGGACAAAGGCTTTCATGTTTGGTAATGAAACGGCAGGTAGACGGAAATACTGTCACTGTGGAAAACATCTTCTGTTCAAGTTTCTTCACTCCATAGTTTATTTGACATACTAGATTGACATCTTGAAAGAGTGATAAATTGAAAGACTTTATTTTTCCATGGTATAAAATATCACTGAGACATGGATTGAAATTAGAGAAAAAAAACAGGCTGCATCTGAGTGCAGATGTACCTACAGCGGTGTCTGTGACCTGTGGAAGTCGTGGATGGGTGTCACTTGACTGCTGGCTGAAACCACAGATACAGAAGCAGGGTTATCATGGCCAGTACATTAGGGTTATCATGGCCAGGACATTAGGATATCATGGTTAGTACATCAGAGTTATCATGGCCAGTACATCAGGGTTATCATGGTAAGTACATCAGGGTTATCATGGTTAGTACATCAGGGTTATCATGGCCAGTACATCAGGCATATCCTGGCCAGGGTTGTCATGACCAGTACATCAGGGTTATCATGGCCAGTACATCAGGGCATCATGGTTAGTACATCAGGGTATCATGGTTAGTACATCAGGGTTTTCATGGCCAGTACATCAGGGTTATCATGACCAGTACATCAGGGTTATCATGGTAAGTACACCAGGGTTATCATGGTTAGTACAGGGTTATCATGGCCAAGTACATCAGGCATATCGTGGCCAGGGTTGTCATCATCAGGGTTATCATGGCCCAGTACATCAGGGTTATCATGGGTCAGTACATCAGGGTTATCATGACCAGTACATCAGGGTTATCATGACCAGTACATCAGGGTTATCATGACAGGTACACCAGGGTTATCATACAGTTATCATGACCAGTACACCAGGGTTATCATGACCAGGTAGTACATCAGGGTATCATCATGTACATCAGGGTTATCATGACCAGTACATCAGGGTTATCATGACCAGTACATCAGGGTTATCATGACCAGTACATCAGGGTTATCATGACCAGTACATCAGGGTTATCATGTACATCAGTACATGACCAGGGTTATCATGGCAGTACACCAGGGTTATCATGACCAGTACACCAGGGTTATCATGACCAGTACACCAGGGTTATCATGACCAGTACATCAGGGTTATCATGACCAGTACATCAGGGTTATCATGACCAGTACATCAGGGTTATCATGACCAGTACATCAGGGTTATCATGACCAGTACATCAGGGTTATCATGGTTAGTACATCAGGGTTATCATGGCCAGTACATCAGGGTTATCATGGTTAGTACATCAGGGTTATCATGGCCAGTACATCAGGGTTATCATGGCCAGTACATCAGGGTTATCATGGCCAGTACACCAGGGTTATCATGGTTTAGTACATCAGGGTTATCATGGCCAGTACATCAGGGTTATCATGGCCAGTACATCAGGGTTATCATGGCCAGTACATCAGGGTTATCATGGTTAGTACATCAGGGTTATCATGGCCAGTACATCAGGGTTATCATGGCCAGTACATCAGGGTTATCATGGTCAGTACATAGTCAGTACATCAGGGTTATCATGACCAGTACATCAGAGTTATCATGGCTAGTACATCAGGGTTATCATGGTCAATACATCAGGGTTGTTATGGCCCATATATCAGGGTTGTCATGGCCCACATAAAAGGGTTGTCATGGTGAAAGTACATCAGAGTTGTGATGGCCCATATATCAGGGTTATCATGGCCAGTGTTGCAGGGTTATCATAGCCAGTGTTTCAGGGTTATCATAGCCAGTGTTGCAGGGTTATCATGGCCAGTGTTGCAGGGTTATCACGGCCAGTGTTATCATAGCCAGTGTTGCAGGGTTATCATGGCCAGTGTTGCAGGGTTATCACGGCCAGTGTTTCAGGGTTATCATGACCAGTGTTGCAGGGTTCTCATGACCAGTGTTGCAGGGTTCTCATGACCAGTTTTGCAGGGTTATCATGGCCAGGGTTGCAGGGTTATCATGACCAGTGTTGCAGGGTTATCATGACCAGTGTTGCAGGGTTATCATGGCCATCATGGCCAGTGTTGCAGGGTTATCATGGCCAGGGTTATCATGGCCAGTGGTGCAGGGTTATCATGGCCAGTGTTGCAGGGTTATGACGGCCAATACTTCAGGGTTATCATGGCCAGTGTTGCAGGGTTATCATGGCCAGTGTTGCAGGGTTATCATGGCCAGTGTTGCAGGGTTATCATGGCCAGTGTTGCAGGGTTATCATGACCAGTGTTGCAGGGTTATCATGGCCAGTGTTGCAGGGTTATCATGGTCAGTGTTGCAGGGTTATCATGACCAGTGTTGCAGGGTTATCATGACCAGTGTTGCAGGGTTATCATGGCCAGTGTTGCAGGGTTATCATGGCCAGGCCAGTGTTTGCAGGGTTATCATGGCCAGTGTTGCAGGGTTATCATGGCCAGTGTTGCAAGGTTATCATGGCCAATACTGCGTCAGGTGTACAGCAGGTCAGTCATCAAGGACAAGTACAGAGCAAAGTTATGGTTGATTCTCACACACACTTTTATACAATATCATATCCTAACAACTGGACATTCATTTGGCCGACAACCATCTGAAACGTAATACTGTGCTATGCACAAGTATCAACACCTTCATTTTGAATCATCTAAAATAGAGCTTAGCCAGTGTAAAAGACTGTAACTGAAAATTAAAAACAAAATATGCTACCTATTCTGCCACCAGAGGGCGGTGTCCTCACAGAGATGCGGCCAGAAGTCATTGGTGAGGTTCCTGAAATCTGCTGCTAGAAAGGATACAGAATAAAACATCTGAGGAAGGGGTCATAATTAACTAAACCCACCAAACCCAAGGCCTTCTTAAGCCATCTTAAATGCAATGATCATACATTTCAGTGATAAACAGTAAAATTTACGTTTAATTTCAAACAGATTAATTTCAGCATCTTTACTAACACTTCCTCAAATGACAAATCTTACCATTTCTACAATTCCCAATACAGTCTTATTCCACTGTCTTGTTTCATAAATGGAAAACATAAATGGCACGAATGTTGCATTTGGCGGAATATATCTGGTTTGTTTGGCTGGCTTGTTACTCAAGTCTAGTGGTGTTCTGATTAATTGAAATAATCGAAGATTGCTTGCAGTGACCAAATGACCAAGCGATCGATCACCTTTTCTCATAATCAAACACAAACAATTTTAGAACTACTGTTTTAGTATTTGAAACACTTGATGATGGAACATATCTTCGAAAGTTGTCAGGGCCTGAAAACATGTTTAATTCTTAGAAAACTCTCTTCACTTACTGAAAAGTCATGACTGAATATTTCTTGAAGATTCTGGGAAGTTTATGTTCATGAGTCATCAATTTAAAGTAGCAATTTGCATCATTTTGCATTGGATGTGAAATTTGCAAATGGAATTTGCGCAGTTTCTAAATAAAAAACCACAAAACAACAACAGAAAACCATGTTATACTTATCTGTAATAACAACCTGAATAGGAAAATCTGAAAAATGATGCTAATAATTTTTTTCGATGATTGCTCGTTGGCAAGGAACCAATTATCAATTGTGAAATTTCAACCAATTCCCAACACTACTCAAGTTCCACGACAACATGGATGGCGTTCCTTCTCTAGTTTGGAGTGGTGAGGTAGTCTAGCGGTTAAAGCGTTTGCTCGTCACATTGAAAAGTTTTCGCTTTTATGAGGACGGTATCCATTGCCATAACATAATTGGCTGCCTTAGGTCATGTGTCTGATTTTGACCAATCACGACCCATATAGCAGACTGTGGTGAAAAAGCGTCATTAGAAACGAATCTTTATCCAATAAAATCGCTTCTTACAACTGTGAAAATACTCTCGACAAGGGTACAGTGATATTGTTGATGTTCAGAGCTTTCAAACGATACCCGACATCAAACGATTCGCCTCGCATGTTATTCATACGAAGCTTCAAAAATGGGGGTATTTTCCGCTGTTGTGTCATGTTACCGAGCGGAAGCTACTGATATCGGGAAATTGGCGACCATACATATTATTTAAAAAATCTTTTTATTATAATTTTCTGATTACGTAAAAATGAAAATATAAAGGAAAAAGGCACGGGCATGTTATGACATGTCACAAATGGAAAAAAATCGCCATAGTTTCTGCTTCTTTCATGGTTTATCTGGACATTATAAATGTAAGCTTGCATTTTCACATAAATAACGAAGTTTACTGTGAATTTTATTTCTAAATAGCAGTAATGAAAAAAGAAGTTTTAACCCCATATAATCGCCCACCTAAAATAAGCGCCCATGGGCGATTTTTTGAGTGGGCGGCTTTCTGGAAAATCCTGGAAGACCTGGTGATTATAGTGTATGAAGCGTATTTCTGGGGTCCCTCTACGTGATACGGCATGAATATTGCTAAAAGTGGCGTAAAGCCATACTCATTCACATCTCTAGAACTTACCGACTGAGGCTGGGAACTGGAGTAACTGAAAATCAGAGCATTTCATCATCAAACAGTCAGCATTTCTTTTATTATAGTTTATGTTTTAAATTGAAAAAAGAACATATCAGCTTTTATATTCCAATGTAAGGGCAATTGTAACATGAAATAAGGTGTTGATCAAATGGGTATATCAAAAGGGTATATCAGTGTCAAGGTTTTATTCCAAATGTGCTTTTGGCAGAATTGCTGGCAACTTTGGATCAAATTTGGGACATTTTAAATTTATTGTAGGTTTGTTTTCTTGAAATTTTCTTCACATGCAAGGATTCTTCATTGTTTTGCTAAAAAATATTTCACATTTTACTGCTGTGAATACACCATGAAGTATCTATTCATAGCAGTCTGTGCCAGAGCCTTGTGAGCAGCTGTTTCAAATATATGTTTTTCAGCTCAGTGACTAAGCTTGACTGAATTTTTTTCTAGACTCTGTTTTAAGACTACTTGTCAGTATGTGTGCCTAGCCTATTATAAACACCAGAATATGTTAGTTTAGAGTGGACTTACTGCGTGGGGGCAGAGTGTGCCGCGCCCCTGGATTTGTAGGGTGAAGTCTGGGTGCCAGGGGATCTGGTTGGGGAAGCTGCAACCACAGGGAAAAAATAGCATCTTATGATGAAACAGACTGTTTTTTTTTAATTTTTTCCTGTTACCCGTGAAGGTCCGGGTTAGAAAATTGATCTTCAGTAACCCATACTTGTCGTAAGAGGCGACTAATGGGATCGGGTGGTCAGGCTCGCTGACTTGGTTGACACATGTCATCGGTTTCCAATTGCGCAGATCCATGCTCATGCTGTTGATCACTGGATTGTCTGGTCCAGACTCGATTATTTACAGACTGCCGCCATATAGCTGGAATATTGCTGAGTGCGGCATGAAACTAAACTAACTCACTAATTTTCCTGTTTATGAAATGCAAATCACCTATGTAACATCAGTTATTACTCAAATACATTAATTTATTTATGTTTTAATTCCAATTAAGTATGGGTTTTTTCAGACAGATTTGGGTCAAATATCGGCCTTTGAACAGGTCCAGATAAATCCTGCAGTCCCAGTTAATCAAATTGCCAAGCAACAAATTTTCATGTCAACAAATCACATTGTGTAGTTGAGTCTCTTACGCAATGACTGTAGTCTGGATATAATAAAGTCTGGACCAAACAGAATATTGATACTGTGAACAATTCACTCCTTTTGGGGGCGGTGGGTTAGTCTAGTGATTAAGGTGTCCACTCATCACGCTGAAGACCCTGGTTTGATTCCCCATGTAGGAACAATGTTTTAAGCCCATTTCTAGTGTTCCCCGCTGTGATACAGTTGGAATATTACTAAAAGCAGCATAAAACTAAACTCACTCACTCCTTTTGTACAATGACACAATATCAACCAAGTAAAGGCACCCAACCACTGATTAAGTTGCCTTTAAAGACCAGCAAAGGTTGATTAAGACCAATTCCAAACCTGATTCACCAATGTTGCATGATCTCCAAGAGAATGCACTAGCATGCATGTTAATAATATGATACAGTATATTTAGTCATGAAATACTTGGGATAAAAATTTACTGATGAAATTGTCCGACATATCTTTGCCAGTTATTGATCTTAATATGCTGATTAGCGAAATAGCCTGATGAATATAACAAGAGTGCTTTAACTAGCAAGACTATAAGAAGTGATACAAGGCTGTATCTCGGCAGTGAGTTTAGTTTTACGTCGGTTTTTAGCAATAATCCAGAAATATAACAGCAGGGGGCCATGAGTCTTTGGCATGACAAGCGAACGCTTTAACCACTAGGCTACCCCACATCCCCTGTACCTCGATAGCTCCCCGGCGATGATGATGCTGGACGCATGCTCCCGGTACTGGACCCCGGGCCTGTGGTACAGAGGGAAGGAGTGATTACCACAGAGGGAGGGAGTGAAAGGCATCCTCGTCAATACAAACAGCAGCCAGAGTCAACATTAACTTTCCAGTAAATGCATCTTTATTTAACATCATATTTCATAATTTATAAATTAATAGTCGGTTTTGGTTAATTACGTCGCGATTACCCAAGATGCTTGTCATATCATTTCTCGCTCCCAGGTCAAGAGACACCAGTAAGCGAGAGACCCAACATAACAGTTGCTGCATATCAAAATGTATACATCACACAATGTTTTAGTTTTATTATATTTATGCTACTTACCTAGAATGACTCCCAAGTCCCTACACATTAAAGAAAAGAATATAATTCACCACATTTAAAGTATAAATCACAGATGTCAACATATATCGCATTACAATAAAATATTATGATCATGCTCTAATGATACAAATTAACAATTACTGATGGTAAATTAATAATCTTGTGTTACAAAAAGTATTTTTTCAATTAACACGTTAAGATGGACAATAAGAAAGGCAAAAATTCAAATTTTAAAATTTAATGGATCATGCTAGTACATATTTTGCATGAAGTCAATTAAATGCAGGTACCAGAAATTGTATTCATCTCAGGGCTTCAGACAAGTAGCTAAAGCCACTTCTAAATCTCACTACCATTTCTGGTGTCCCCCACCGTGATATTACTGAAGGCCTGTGTCACAGTATTGATACCATATATTACTGAAGGTAAGTCTGTGTATTCTTAGTCACTGTCTACTTCACATAATCCTCTCTCAAGACTAAAATATATGACAGCCCCTAACCTGTGCCCAATAGAACTTGTAAAGGGCTAGTGTAAAGTAGAAGGCTACATGTTGACTAGTTCTGTTTTACAGAAGAAATTTATTGTTTCCTGTGCGACTAACAATTTCAATTATTAAATGTTGATATTTTTATTATTACTTTATTTTAATTATTTTTCACATAATATTACTTTGAGATAACCCGTGAAGATCCGGGTTAGAATGAACCTTCAGTAACCCACGATTGTCGTAAGAGGCGACTAACGGGATCGGGTTGTCAGGTTCGCTGGCTTGGTTGACACATGTCATTGGCTTCCAATTGTGCAGGTCGATACTCATGCTGTTGATCACAGGATTGTCTGGTCCAGACTCAATTATTTACAGACCGCCGCCAGCTGGAATATCGCTGAGAGCGGTAAAACTATAATCACTCACTCACTTTGAGATAACTTGTCACAACCAAAACAAGAATAACTCACTTTCCAAGTTTAATCTTTGTCACTAGCAAACATGGCTTATGACTCTCTTATATTTATCTCCCAAGCTCAATGTTATCCAAAGTTCAATTCTTGTTCCTACAGGACATACCTGCGGCAAATAACACCATTACCTTTTCTGATATCAATCGTTTCAAATATGAGTTTTCTTCTCTCAACCGTATCAATTCTCTGAAAGAATAAATACAACAATCATGTAATGATGAAAGATAATGAACCATCAATCTCATGTACACACCCTTTACCATGATTTGATACCTCTCCCCCTTAAGACCTGTGAAACTTTCCATTAGGAGTGTAACAACACTGGGAAAACATCTAGGACTCTAAAATAACTTGACTGTGGCAGGCATTTGAGGAAAGCATCATCATTTTGTTCAATAACGTAAAACTAAGCATTAAAACCTCTTTGTCTTTCTTGGACTGGTCCTTTTATAAGAAAAACATAGGCAGCCTCCTTAAAGTCATTAACTTAGGTATAAGTTACTGTAATTACAATGTTTCAGGCAATTTTCAATGCCATTTAAATTTAAAATTCTAAGAGAGACTTAATCTGCTCACGTAAATTATTTCCTATGGAGGGCATATCTGCCGTACAACATTGGAGCCCTGAACAACATTAACTTTACAATAACACTTCCAGGCCTTACCTCTCTACTTGCTGGTATTTCAGTATAGAATGCTGGGCCTTGTCCAACACCTCCTGCTGCTTCGAGACCTGAGACGAATGTGGTTCAACAAATGTCTTGTTATAACAGCAACAGGAGAAGTGACAAACCTCTATCAAAATAGATCGTGCAATTATTCCAAATTTCTGTTCATTCAAGCTGTCATGGGGACAGATTTTTCACTTTTCTCCAGGAACAGTATCTGTATTGTTAGTCAGCATATTCATGAAGGAGGCGGTGGGATAGCCTAGTGGTTAAGCGTTCGGTTGTCACACCAAAGACCTGGATTCGATTCCTCACATGAGTACAATGTTTGAAGCCCATTTCTTACCAAGTGTCCCCCGTCCTGACATTGCTGGAATATTGCTAAAAGAGGCACAAAACCATACTCACTGTCACTCATGAAGACAGGGAGTATTTACAAAATCCTGGCCCGATTTCTCGAAACAAACTTAAGTCTTAGTTTCGACTTAAGTTAGAGTTTTTACTCAAATTTGAGAAAATGCATTTCCCAGAATGAACTAAAATCGATATTAAACTCAAACATAGTAAACGATTTGAGTTTGGTGGATAGATTACTTAAGTTGTTTGGGCTTTTTTATTTAAAAAATGCAGTTGAGTTACAAATTCAGCTGTTTCAAATTGTCCAACTCAGTTTGAAATTTGAGAAAAAACTTAAGTTTGTTTTTAGAAATCGGGGCCTGAACATTGTTAGTGTTGGAACTGTACCTTTCCCTTAAAGTGACTCAGCATCCTCCCGCGATGGTTCTTCTGGAAGTCTAACACCTACAACATAATGTGCAACATGATGACAACATGATGACAATGAGGATATGGATTGCTGTGCACTACATTTTCACCCTCAGCTCCTTAGGGAGTATAAATCCCAAGTTGCTCGAAGATGAACAGTCACATTACCATCAAATATTCAGCAGAAACCCATGTGATGTCGGGAGAACATGCAAACACCTGTCTGAAGATACACTTCAATCTGGGTGCTGCAAATTGTTCTGAGCAAAATTTAAATTATTAAAGGTCACATGCAACGTAAAACACAACTTTGCAGATTCTGATACCTTTCGGTATGGACTTACCAAAACAAATCACCAAAAATGCAAATTCAACTTATTAAGTTGAAAAATAACGCGATGAAAAAACCCGCTCGAAATCAGAGTTCAAACGATTCACTAATTTTCCCCCAGCACTTGGGGGAAAAGTGGTTTCAACAGCTGGGCTGCGCTCATAGCACATGCGCAGTGAAATAGGTTCGCGCAGCTTGGAGGCGGGTTGTCCGGTGAATACTCGGTGAAGGCTTTGGTGTGAGCTATTTGTCTAATGTTTTGTTGATATTTCACAGGCGTGAGCTTTTTATATGTTATGACAGTAGATTACTGATTTAACTGTTCATATAATTTCATTTGTCTATTTCACCACACGTTCTTCTTTCCGAGTCACTTTCTCAGTTTGATACTTAAAAGCAATGTCATTATTTAGCGTTTACAGAATTTCTAACTGTGATATAGATATGTCGTTGTTACAGACAAAACTCAATGTCTGTTTTATTGACACCTATATGTCTGCCTGCCTGTCTGCTAATGACAATATTCAATACACAACTTCGATCACTGACCACATGCAATTTGAACTTAACACCTATCAGACTATACACCATAAACAAAATGCATTGATTTATGGCCCGAGTTCGGTCTCTGTCACATTATGCAATTACACAGACAGGCAGGTGTGATACTTGTACACATGATATGTTATGATGTCTGTTGATTGCAAAATGTTATACACAAAAAATGAGCATGTATTTACAAAACCCAACATCTCTATATACACACACAATGAGCCGTGAGGGCATCTGCAAATGAACCAGCTGTTACACTTGAGTGCACACCCACCCGCTCTGACTGGGTTCGGTATCCCGGCTGCTTCGTTTCTTGGGAAGTAAACCCAAGTACAAAATATTGCACTTTTGATTTGCGATTGTACGCTTATAATTTTGTTTATATGCTTTTTCATAATCAGCAATGTATATTATATGTCATGAATAAGTGATAATTGTGTTTTAATTATGTTTGATTTTTTGGTTGCATGTGACCTTTAACAATCACTCTTTGTAAGTTAATTCATGTTGTAATAGTTTTAACTAATATTTTGGCTTTGTAGCGTTGACTTGTATTTCAGTTTTCATCTCATATACATCCAATGTTGCCTATAAGGAACAAGACAGTGAACCTATGCATAGAGTAGATGGGGCCTAGATGTTAAAATGTAATTCGCAGAATGAATGAAATGTCAAAACACCTCTGAAATTAAGTACTTAAGAAAGAAAAGAAAAGAATTACAGGGTTCGAAATACCCCATATACTAGTGTGCCATGGCACGGTAAATACAGAAATGGCACGGCTAAAAAATGTTCTCGGTGCCCTTTTGACACGCCTAATTTTTTAAGAGACATAACTCACATTTAGTCATTTAATCCCCCAAACAATTATTTTTTTCCAAATTGAATAATACCATACATATTTGAATGCTCATAAACCCATTTCTTTATTTAACAATAAATTTCAAATGATCATCATCATTGTCATTTATTCTAAAAACATGTGGGCATACTTGATTTCAGAAAGGCAAACCTAAATATATTTGTCTGGTGCCCTAAGGCACACTTAGAAAAAAAGTATTTCTATCCCTGTTTTAAATTATTTGTGCCCAATTTGTTTTGAATCCAAGACAAGTACCAGGCATAAGATCATCTACTGTACCTGTATGGCTTGCTTCAAACATTTCCTCAGGATGTCCACAGGATCAGTGAAAAACAGTTCCACTTCTGGTTTCATCTGAAAGTGTTGTAATGCTTCATATCAACAAACCAAACAAGTAATTTTAAGATTTAAACAACAGTAATCATGATACATATCTCTTTACAACATACTCAGGGCTCGATTTAAGAGATGTTAACCTACTTGATAAAAACCTAGTTGCACCAGTCAAATTCCAGTTGCACTGTTTTTATTGCAATATGTAATATCAGAAATATGCTATTGAATTATTTAGATGTTTTATTCAGAAGTTTACCCACTCAAAAACTGACTAGTGCAAGCAACAAAGCACTAAATCGAGCCCTGATACTGCATGAAAAGATCACTTCAAATCCCCAATAACTCTAGAATTATAAGATGACTGCTTTAGAGTTACCTATGAAAGTTGTTTGATCGGCATTCAAGAAGTTGGTGAGTCAATAATACAACACACGTTTAGCTTTAAAACCATGTAAACATCTACGCAAAAACATTGCAGGTCATGCAATAAACAAGAAGTTATCATAATACACAGGAAGTTGTATGTTTTATTAGGCCACATAAACATATTCTTGTTTCTCATCACTTTTAATAAGAATTATGGGTTGGACAGGTGGATTTTATATTTACATTTTATTTTATTTTATGTCCAAAACCCCTTGATTTCTGTGGAAATTTACACCTTTTCTCCAACAGAAAATCAACACTTAGAAGTGTGAAAAATTCATGCACACTTTGAGAGTCAAAGTTGCATTTCCAGTCAGGAAATAATAGGTCAGGTTTAATAACAATTGACTTTGTGGTATATTATTGTTATTTTGTTACGGCTACTATCATTATTATTTGCTAAACTTAATCGAACTGAGTTTTTATTTTGGGTTTTATCAATTACTGCTGGACTAGTATACCTAGGTACATAAATATATCTGAGTACAGGGTTTGAAATACCGTACCCCATATATTAGCGTGCCATGGCACGGTAAATATCGAAATGGCATGGATAAAAAATGTTCTCGGTGCCCCTATGGCACGCCTAATATTTTTAGAGACATAACACACCTTTAGTCACTTAATAACCAAACAAAACACTTATGCAAATGACAACCAAGCAAAAACATTTATTGACTTTATCACCTAGGAAATCACTGGAATTATGATGGTTCATGTAAAGAAATCTGGTAGGGTTTTTTTTCATTTAGAGTGATAGTTCAGTTATTGAAGAGGAAATTATGTATGTTAGATTTATTGAAAAAATTCTCACACAATTCTTAGCTATTAAAGGTGTTGGGAAAGCAGAACAAATGAAACATAAGAAAGCCAACTTAAACAGAAGACATATTAGTGATAACAGAAAACTGGTTACATTTGTTGTTTTCTGACAATAAATTTCAAAAGATCATCATCCTTGCTACAGTCATTTATTCTACAAACGTGGGCACACTTGATTTCTGAAAGGCACACCTAAAATATTTGCCTGGTGCCCTAGGGCACACTTAGAACAAAAAGTATTTCTATCCTGGAGTAGACAGACAGTAGGTTTCAACATGATCTAACAAGCTAGAACTGTCAACTGCTGACAAAGCCAATTACGTCTCCGATTAAGTTAATTACTGAGAAATATGTGACTCACATTTGCAGATAGCTTGATGATTGTGCAGTTGGATCCACACATCCGACATCGTTCTTTGCAGCCTGAAACATCAACTATTTCTGAAAGTTTCTTTTATTTTACTTCATGTATAAAGTTGTTAAAATAGTTAGTGAGAGAATGAATTGGGTTATAATTTGAACACGAGATCATACATTTCTGGCATTCACAAGGGAGGCAACTCTGCAAAGCTAATTGCCATCAGATGGCTGCACCGGCCATGTCCCCATCATAAAATACTGACCCTCATGTGGTAAAACAAGAACTTGTACACTCAGAGGCAGTGTTCCATGTCTGATTGGGGTACCTGGTGCATGCACCTTGCTATTTCAGCACAAACAATATTGTATGTTAAATGCAGGATACAATTTTACCTTACTGCACCTAATCCCAACATTCTAATCAACCAAAGTACATAAAATCAGCTGGCAAACAAAAAGTATTATTTGACTCACCTTCTACCAAACATTTCTCACAGTAGATATGTCCACAGTTGGTGAGGGAGAAGTTGGCTCCTGCACCAGGCTGTATGAAACACAGGTTACAGTGGAGCCAGTCCACCATTTGTGGAGCCAGGAGGTTATTCTCTAAGGAAAAGATTATTAATTCTAAGTAAAAACAAACAAACCAGGATATTCTTGGCAATTTCGTTTTGTTGCATTTGCTCTGGTTCGGGCACATCGTCTTTACTCATTTCATCTACATAACATATTATTTCTACAACTTGTAAAAACTGAATGTACGAAATGCGAAAAATCTCTGCTGTGAAATCAGAAATGGCAGCATGATCGCTCCACACGAATGAATTTTGGTGTCAATAATGAGTTGACGATTGTGTTAACGTATCTTTGAGACACTTACTTGTTCGCTGTGTTATAAAATTATTTGACTTGCAGAAAAACGCAACACTTTTTCATGAAGTGAGCTCTGGGGATTCTAACATCCTATTCCGTTTCGAGTGTACAATCATAAACGTTCCCGCCAAGCAAGTACTTTCAGAGTTATCGCCCCTTACAAGCAGTCGGCACACCCCAATCAGAACATATCGTGTGACCTCTGATTGACGTATTACACTTTCACTGTTGATAGAGAATTTCTAATGGAAGATTGACCCAACATTGGGCCGAATATATTACAAAAGTGTTAAACTTGTCAGTAGATATGGTGATGGATTTAGAATATATTGATCTAGAATTATATAACATTAAATAAATAGCACATGTGTTAATATGAATTTTTAATGATAGAATACCTTCTTTAATAACAGGCTACGTACATATTCTTCACTTTCAAAAACCATATGTCTGGTTCTTCAGCAACCCATGCTTGTCGTAAGAGGCGACTAACGGGATCGGGTGGTCAGGCTCGCTGACTTGGTTGACACGTGTCATCGTATCCCAATTGCGCAGATCGATGCTTATGATGTTGATCACTGGATTTTCTAGTCCCGACGGAATTAAGGCCGCCATATAGCTGGAATATTGCTGACTACGGCGTTAATCAACAAAGCAACCAACTGAGGCCTGCATCACTTAGTGATTTCCACCCACATCAAGAGGACACGTTGTGAATAAAAACACGTAACTTCTTTTTATCCCCCGCCACAACGAAGTTGCGGGGGATATAGAAACGAGTTCCGTCCGTCCGGTCACACTTTGTCTGAAGCATATCTCCTAAACTATTCGTGATAGCTTAACCAAACTTGGTACACTTGTCAACCATGATCCCTAGATGTGCCTTTTGGGGGTTAGACCGAGATATGAATTTTATTTTTTGCTGTTTCTATGGAAACGTGACTTGGGCTGTGGCTATGAGGATGTCATCTTGTCCGCAGCATATCTTCCAAACTATACATGCTAGCTTCATCACACTTGGTACACATATCAAGCATGATCCCTAGATGTGCCTTTTGGGGGTTAGACCGAGATATGAATTTTATTTTTTGCTGTTTCTATGGAAACGTGACTTGGGCTGTGATGTCATCTTGTGAGGATGTCATCTGGTGTAGATGTGCCTTTCTGGGGTTAGATCTTAGAAACCTTTATTTACTCTCCATGGCAACAAACATTTGAGTTAGGCTTCAACATGAAGAGTTTTGTGGTAGTGCTCCTTTCAATACTCTCCTTCCACTTTATTCTTGATACAGAGCTAAATTTTGCCTCTCCATCACATGAATGTCCTGATATACCTGGAATGGCGTTGAACCCGACCATCTACCTCAAAGGGATAAAATACAACTCACTCCAAGCGTACGTGTATTTGTAGACATGCAGGGATTACTCATACTTATTCGCGACTTCACGTGTATGTGTACAAGTAATTGCTTGTAGCCCGTGTTTTAAATTGTAAATTTTATTGTAATGTTAAAATGTATGTACATTCAGTATTTGGGAAAAGGGGTGTGGGTGTGTGTGTGTGGGGGGTAACTTTGGCTTGTTGTTTAACGCCTCACCCAGCAATGTTACTTGCTGTTTCTCCGGATGAAAAGTAACAAAACGCAAGTGTCCGGATGATTCGATTGTATACCGATTACCTTCGAGAGTGGCCTTGTGTTTCTGATGGACTTGACAGTTGTGTATGTTAATTTGGTCTAGTCGCTATATAGTAGACCTTATATTTGAAGGTTACATGTTATAATTTGGTGTCGTGATCTAATTTTGAGCGTTTGAAGTTTAGGGTTTTCTCCACATACATAAACATACGAGCGTATGTGTTTGCACGTGCATGGGATTAGATCTATATTCATGAGACCAGAAACTTAACTTCACTTACACTTCAGCTTTCTAAGACCACTATTGTATTGATTTGCATACATTATTTTGTGCATCAATAGAGTAGGAATTATTGCACCACTGAAGGTTACAACACTTACCCTGCCTTGGATCTGTGATAGTCGACATGGTAGCCTTGTGGTTAAAGCGTTTGCTCGCCGAAGACAGGAGTTCGATTTCCCACATGGGTACAATGTGTGAAGCCGATGTTTAAAATGTTTGGGATAAATGTTTGAAATGTAAAACAAATACTCGGTACAGATCAACCTGTCCCCCCTCTCAAGTCTCCAATAGTGTTTGTCACTGTCAGTAAAAGATGCATAATTAGTTTGGGTGATTGAGTTTAAAAACCAAAATTTCAAGGAGGTTAATATTTCTTTGTTCAACTATACAATTTATTTATGAACCTGAAAACACAAAATAGTCCCGTCTTCTGAATCCTGTTGTTCCAAGTATCTCAGCAGCAGGCAAAATATCCCTTATCAATTTCGCAAAATGTATGTTCACATCCTACATAAAACTTCTTCATACTGTGATGATTCACTATCAGATGTGGCCCCAAATCTGGGACTTTTTTCAAAATGTCTGTAAAAAATAATTTGTTCCCCTGACAACAAAGACACACAGTTAACACTGACTTGTGACACACTGCTCATCTTGTGTGAATGATTTTCATGATTTATGAACCAGTTCATAAAGTTGTCCTTTGCCATATGTCAGTTTTGTTTTTCATAGAAGATGTGCCCCTTGTCTCACTGTGGTGGTGTGTGGTTCTTGTGCATAGAGCTCATGTCACAAATCAGCTGATGTTAAGCAACGCTGGGCATGGATGGGTGACCATGTGACCGTGTGTGACTCCTGAAAGTTTCTTGGACTTCAGTCCTGCCCCACAATGAAGCACATGTGATACATGTGGTCTCACTTTAGGCAAGTGAGTTTGTTCAAAATTGCTTCTGTTCACCCAGCAGAAAATGGGTACCCGGTGGAATAAGTCATAAGACTATTAACCTTCTAGGCCTCACAGGCAGCTTGGGTTATTTGGGGTAATAACAATAGCGCTTTTAGCAAGATATCAATCCTGGAATGACACTATGGAAGTGGACCATTTATTATTATTATTATTATTATTATTACATTAAATAAAGACAGAACACAAATTAACAGTACAAATATAGTAGATTTATTAACAAGGTCACAGTGTATTCAGGTTGTTGCAAAGAGATGGAGTGTGCCTTTGATCCAGTCAGCGATCTCACTTCCTCCAAGTTTAGATTCTCCATACACTCGGTCAACAAATGAGATGGGAACCTGTTGAAACAAATACAACACAGTTGACATCAGCAAAATGATTTGGATTCTATTCTAAGATTCAGGAAAAGTAAATTCATACTCAAAACATGCAAAATCAAGGCTGTCTAACCCTGTATAATTGTATGAAGTGATTTTCTATGATTCTTTAAGCTTAACTGACAGGCTTCTCCAAATGTTTTACATAACAAATAAACTGATCAATATTCAGCAGCCACTGATCCAACTATATATACAAACATGGGTTTGTTGATGACAACTGCCATCAACATGCTGCACTCGGGTTTGTTTTGTTTTTTTTCAACAATATTTCAGTTATATCTTGACGTGGGAGGAAAACACAAATTGACCCCCGAAGATGAAGACGTTTACCACCTTGGTGAAACCCAATGGTATGGTGCAGACAAACCGTGAAACATTTAATCAGGCTGATGGGATTTGTACCCATGACATCAGATCCTAGCATGCCAATTTGATGCCTTCACATTGCTTTGGAGTACCTCTGACAAAAGGGCCACTTACCAAAGAGTGAGTGTGTGAGTGTGTGAGTTAAGATTGATGCTGCTTTTAGCAATATTCCAGCAATATCGCAGTGGGGAACACCAGAAATGGGCTTCACATTGTACCCATGTGGGGAATCGAACCTGGGTCTTCAGCATGACAAGTGGATGATTTAACCACTAGGCTACACCACCGCCTACAAAAGGAAAAGCAGGCGATTCTGGGATTAGTTTTCTACACATTACAGAGTTGTCTCCCCTACCTCTCCTATTGATTTTCCAAACTGTCTGGCTCGGATGATCATTTCCACCTGGAACATATAGCCCCTGGACTGGCATGAGTGAATGAGGCTTTCCAGTACATCCTTCTTGTACAATCTGCAACCAGAACACATATTGTCTTCCTCTCTTTCATTTGTTTTCTAGTGCCTCACTCAGCAATATTCCTGCTTATTGGCAGAGGCCTATAAATAATCAAGTCTGGACCAGACAATCCAGTGATCCAAAGCATGAGCATTGATCTACACAAATGGGATACGATGACATGTTTCAACCAAGTCAGGGAGCCTGACAACCCGATCCTGTTAATTGCCTCTTACAACAACTGACTGACTGAGTTTGGTTTTACAAATATTCCAAGCAACATCAGGGGGACACTGAGAAATGGGCTTCACACATTGTACCCACGATCCTGTTGTGATTCGCGAGCCTCCACTAGGCTACCCCACCGCCCCTCTTACAACAAGCATAGGTTGCTGAAGATCAGTTATAAACTGGATCTTCTCAGGTGAATTCATATCAAGTTCACACAAGAGGCAACTTCTTGCTCATACCAAACATACAGTAACATACAGTACTGTTCACAGGGAGTTTGAAAAGATAAAGTACTGGTACTTATCATTGCATATGTTTATTTAAAAAGAAACAACAAAAATAAATAAAGATTAAGAAAAATTCTGTAGATCAGCATGGATCATACCTGAAGCTGCCGGTTACATCTGAGGCTCCAGGCCACAGCAACACCTGTGTGATGTAGTTAGCACCACGACTGAAACATCAACATCATCGGTCACTTAAATCCTGACTGAAACATCAACATTTTCAGTCATTCAAATCCTGACTGAAACATCAACATCATTGGTCACTTAAATCCTGACTGAAACATCAACATCATCGATCACTCAAATCCTGACTGAAACATCAACATCATCGATCACTCAAATCCTGACTGAAACATCAACATCATCGGTCACTCAAATCCTGACTGAAACATCAACATCATCGGTCACTTAAATCCTGACTGAAACATCAACATCATCAGTCACTCAAATCCTGACTGAAACATCAACATCATCGGCCATCTCAAATCACTAAATCCTGACTGAAACATCAACATCATCGGTCCACTTAA